TACCCCCGGATCTTCACGGGCCCTATATAATTGAGCATATTATTAATAAAAAATAACATTGATATTTATATTTTTTTACACTGCTTTAACTATCCAGCCACCCACTGCCCATCTGGTACGTCACAAATCAGGGTCCAGCTTGCAAACATCCCTGATACATGCATCTATTTATATTCATGTTTGATGCCATTTAAAAGCTAACACATTCAGTGGGCATGCACTTCCACTTTGGAAAACACTTTCCTGATTCAGAAGGGCTCTAAAACAGAAAGTTGCATCTTGATAGCCTGATTTCCCACCCATCTGTGACACCATTCACGACAAAGGCCATCTCTTGATAGTCCTGAACATGCAAATTGACATGCATGGACTGCCAGTAATAGCATCATCTGGCCTTGAACCCCAGGATCACATTAATGAATACTGATGTGTGTCTACTCGCAAATGATGTTTGGCGAAATGAGTTTGTCAGATACAGCTTTTCTTTGATTATTTCTTAAAAATGTGGAGTGGAGCTGAACTGAGCTGAAAAGAGCTGGGTGGATGGGTGAGTGAGTGAGTGGGAGGGTGGGTGAGCTGGGTGAGTGAGTGAGTGAGTGAGTGAGTGAGTGAGTGAGTGAGTATTTTGCCACTTTTAGTCAGGTCAGGGGGCGACACCATCAATTTTTTAAGAGTTGTTCTTTTCATAAGCCTACTTTTCCATTACTCTCAAATTTGACGATGTGTCACCTTGTCTATTACTGTTACTGCCGAAAAATTAAGTGAGTCAGTGAGTCAGTGAGTGAGGAGCTATACTATAAATAATACTGATCAAGGTAACAAAATGAAAAAAATACTGTTCATATACTTTACTATCTTATCCAAAAGAAACCTTACTTGAAAACATTACAAACTTCATATAAGAAAATAGACAGAGTTACCTCCCTTAAATAAATTCATCTGAGCTAATAAACAGAGTTAACTTGCTTAGCTCCCCAACAACTCCCACAATCCTCTGAATTTAGAACATTAGTGAGTGAGTGAGTGAGTGAGTGAGTGAGTGAGTGAGTGAGTGAGTGAGTGAGTGAGTGAGAGTTTGGTTTAATACCACTTTGAAGAGTATTGTGGGAGAAAGCCTGAGGTGAAGCAGGTCTGAGACAACATGGAAACATCATCACGGCAAACCTGGATTTGAACCCACAGTCAAAGGTTCCTGCCATGCCTAAGGGACACAACCCTGAACAGCAAATTGCACACCTTAGAGGAGAGGGCCGCCCTCGTAGTGAGTGAGTGAGTGAGTATGGTTTTACGCCGCTTTTAGCACTATTCCAGCAATATCACGGCGGGGGACACCAGAAATGGGCTTCACACATTGTCGGGAATCGAACCCGGGTCTTCGGCGTGACGAGCGAACGCTTTAACCACTAGGCTACCCGACCGCCCCGCCGCCCTCGTAACTTGTCCTACTTATCGTAACATTAGAAGCTCTATGTACTACCACATAAAGGATTTTGATCGGAAAACAGCCTTGTGTGGTAACAGGAAGTTAACAAGAGATGTAAACTACAACATACTTATATCTCTCCGTGATTTATAGAAAATAATGGTATGTTTGTACATTGAGTATAAATATATATTAAGCCTGACATCTTGAACCTCGATCCACGCCATTGGGATTGATGACATGCATCAACCAAGATTCTACCCCGTAATCTTCACGGGTCACAATATTCAGTGTCTTATTTGGGTCTGTGCATAGAAATTCTTACTGAAGACAGACTCTGTACCATGCTAACTGATCAGAGAGATGATTTTCCGGTCGTGAATTCCCCTTCATGTTGAGTAATTAACCATCAGCTTCAGCTTACAATGTCGACATATCTCAGTTGCTAAAGTTCTCTAGAGCATGTGCATTTTATTTCAATTTCATGGAAAGGCACATTTTGCTTTCAACTTACGTTTACAATCAAGATTTCACCATAAAAAATCTGGTTATATAAATAATTCCATAAAATTTATGGTAGACAATCTAGGAAGTAACCAGATATGACATGTTGCTTGTCAACATGAAAGATGATGCTATCTATGCTATTTATGGGAGAAAAGCCCGAAGTCTCAGACGTTTACCACTTCGGTGAAACCCACGAGCATGGGTAAAGTGCTGACAAAGCTAGAAACCTAGGTCACTTAGACAAGTGGGTCATAATTCTATCTAAAGTCCAAGGCTAGAACAACATACATTTGTCCGGATGCTGCCCCCTGAATTAATATGACTGGGAGTTGTACAAAGGGACATCACTCCCTTACATCTTTTGTTTATCTTTAGTATTTGTTTGTTTGTTGTTTAACACTGCACTCGGCTATAGATCTGTAAATAATTGAGTCTGGACCAGACAATCAAGTGATTGACATCATGAGCATTGATCCACACAATTGGGATACGATGCCATGCATCAACCAAGTCGGCAAGCCAGACTACCTGATCCTGTTAGTCGCCTCTTACGACAAGCACATTATGGCAAGGCATTCACTAATTAACACAGGCAGGTGAGAACAGATCCATGTGACTTCACTTTCGTTGGGATCAGTTTCTGTGATTTGACTTCACTGTAAACCGATGGAGTGGATCCATACTCATGATTTCAGCCACTAGTTTGACATTTCCGGGCTCGATTATTTACAGGCCACTGTGGTACAGCTGCTATACTTCCCCTTATGACATACACACACTCACGCATTCATAACAAAGTTTGTTTGTTTGTTGTTTAACTCCGCAATATTCCAGCTATATGATGGCAGCCTGTAAATATTCAAGTTTGGACCAGACAATGCAGTGATTGACATCATGGGATATGATGACATGCATCAATCAAGTCAGCGAGCCTGTCACCCTATCCCTTTAGTCGCCTCTTACGACAAGCATAGTCGCCTTTTACGACAAGAATGGGTTGCTGAAGACCTATTCTTAGTGAACCCGCATCTTCACGGGTCGATAACAAAGTCATCATGTCATATGAAGGTTATATTCTCTCAATATCACATACCTTTTCCATCATATTGATCTCGAACTGGCTGAAATTCAAACACAGATACAGACATAAGCTGTGCAGCTATGCAGTGTATTGGAGCATATTTCTTTCACAAACTGACAATTTTATGCTCCATGAATACCGCTCATCTTTGAACTTTTGTATTTTATATATATATATAGTAATAATTAAATAAGTGGAGTAAGATTGAACACAGTTTTAATAGGCTAGCCCTTTCAACTCGTACCTGGTGACTCGTACGTGGTACGAGTTGAAAGAGCTAGCCTATTAAAACTGAGTTCAAACTTACTCCACTTATTTAATCATTACTATATTGTGCCTGAGAGTTAGAACTTTACTGTCCTTTTTATATATATATATATATATATATATACACAAAAATGAGGTAAATGTTCACTCGGTGTACATGTAATATATAATAAAATAATAAAGTTCACGTTAGTCTATCATCTTCTTTATATCAGTTTCAGACATAGTAAACTGATATAAAGAAGATGATGGACTAACGTGGACTTTATTATTTTATTATATATATATATATATATATATATATATATATATATATATATATATATATATATATATATATATAAAAAAACTACTCAAATTTTGATAGGAATTGTGACTATCCAAGTGGGGTCTGAATGTGACTGATTGCTTGGACATGTTGTCTTGCAAATAGTATTTGATACTGCCTGGATATGAAGCATATGTGCAACTTCATTACAAGTTTATTAAATATCCCGGGTAGAGTAGGTCTTCAGCAACCCACCCTTGCCGGAAAAGGCAACTATGCTTGTCCTAAGAGGCGACTAGCGGGATCGTGAGATCAGACTCACTGACTTGGTTGATGCATGTCATTGTATCTCTTTTGTGTAGATCGATGCTCATGATGTCAATCACTGGATTGTCTGATCCAGACTTGAATATGTACAGACTGCTGTCATGTAACTGGAACATCGCTGAGTGCGGCATTAAAAAACAAACAAACAAAAAAATTTAAAAAAATTACACAGTTCAATAAGTTATGACATAACATCATAGTATGACATATCTCAGTACTCCTGTCAAATGTGGAGTAGATACTTTAAGAAAATGAGAAAATCCAAAACTCAAATTTATTCCTAACATTAAATGACTTAATCCAGAAAATTGATAGCAGTGAAACATCAGTCTGAGCACAGCAAGCAGATCGAGATACACACCAGCAACACACCAGTGATGTACAAACAATCATTCTCAGGTCAGTTTGTATTCCCCAACATCTGTTCATGAGCTACCAACACCCACCTGCCCATGGTGATCCAACACACGGCAAGTACTTCATAGCTTCCCACTGTACCTTGAATCACAACTAACTACCTTGAAGACTGCTGACAGTGAAAATCCATAACATCATGAATAATTTTCTCAAAACTTACACCCACTGATCAAACAATACTTGTTAAAAAAAATAACACCTGCTAAATCACATACCTCTACAGCCTGTTCAGACATTTAACTTAGATGTTTCTCCCATCGATAATATAGCCATGGTTTCATGTACATTCACTACAAGATGATGTTGCTGAAGCTGGTCTTCGTGCCACCTTGGACACAATGTGATGCTACCACGAACACTTACATAATTCACACACGAGAGAGTGAGAAACATGTCAGTAGAGAATGGCAGCCGCTGACTACAAGAGGGCAACAAAAGTCATCCCAGCATGCAAAACATGCCATCTTTAATCAAACAAAACCTGTTTTCAACAGAAACGCTTTAAACACACAACAAATTGCCCTTCACCATCACCATCATCATTGTGAAATGTTGCGCTGTTGCGCCCAGTCATTAGAAACGGAAACATTGAAGAAAGGCTGACGAGATTTAGAAAAGATATAAATCAACAGGAACCCTCGCGCCTATCAAAGGGAACCAACACAATGTTACACCACACACACACACACATACACACAACATCTTAGTACCTTGCAGAATCCTGAGTTGATGAAGGTTGATGCATAAAAACAGGCAAGAAAAGTAAAATTTGGCATTAAATACCAGCGATGGGTTAGCTCAGTGATCAGGGGAGGCAATAAGCAAGCGGGCACACCGGGGGAAAAGTATAATTATCATGTCGGAATTTCATTGATTTTCTCGAATAGCCCTCTTCCTATTGCTCTGAGAATAAGGAACGGTATAGAAGCCAGAGCGAAACACTTGGTAAACTTACAACAAAACAGGATGAAACTGGAAAACTTACACCTGTTGATTTCTTGATAAAGTTGTGATTCTGGAGGATGCTGTGCTGACCCTTACATAGGCGTGAGGGAGGTGTGCCCCCTTAAATCTCCACGCACAAGGAGAGAGAGGATTTAGCATGAGGAGAGTGCACAACAACACAATGTACAGTAATGGATACCTCCCGTCAAGCAGGTAGGGGATTTCAAATTTCAAATATCAAATTTCGACACTTGAAATTTTTATTTAGGCTGACATTTAAATCTTGATCTTGTGTATGCTGAATTTTATGACCTCTGTGTATGAAATGTCATTGCAGGTAGGGGATCTCAAATTGCAAATATCAAATTTCAATACTTGAAATTTGTGCTGACATTTAACTCCTGACATTGTGCATGCTGAATTTAATTACCTCTGTGTTTGTTTGAATCATCATTGCAGAATGAGTGGTTGTACTAATGGAATTTTATCTGTGGAAATAAGTCAATCCTATTTTTGATCCATTAGGTTCTATTACAATGAACATCCAATCTGAATCTAAAAGAAACACAGAATCAGGGTTCTGAAACCATTCTTAAAGATGAGTTCATTTGCAATCTTACAATGTTGTAAATGTAACTCACTGGCTTTACTGCAATTTGACTGTTTCAATGTGACAACGTTCCAGTTGTATTTGATGGTATCTGAATACTGAAAAGTTCAAGTTACATTTTACAACGTCCAAACAATGTTCAAGCAAGAACTACGACATACATTTTTTAATGCTGTAAACGTGACTCTTTGTACTGATATGTGACTGTACTACAATGTTTCTGTCACATTTGACAATGTGTGGATCCCGAATTATTCAAGTTACATTTCACAAAGTCCAAATAATGTTCAAGAAAGAACAGATATCGACAAGATTCTAAGAACTACAACAGCAATCTGAGGCTGATGATGAGGGAGGGACTTGATTGCCCCTCCTCACAGCACGGGGATGAACGGTCATGATGGGGATTAAAGTTTTCCTCAACTTTCTGCTTAGTTTGGTCAATCACGTACCTGATCTCTATATTGTAGTGTTCATACAAAGTTATTGACTTTTGTTTTCAGAGATACTTAAAGGTGTTGAAATGTTCCTTCTGATAGAAATTATCACGCAAATATTAATTCTGTAATGTTTCAGTGAATTTTCAGTGAGATCAAAGGATGACGTTAATGCATTCTTTAGCAAGAGAAATATCTCCAATGCATGTCCTCTCACATAAACAATTCGAATTGTCTTCACAAATGGCTTTCTTCCACATTATAAAGACGGAAAAGTATGATGCTACTGCCATTTTCCAAAGGAATAATTTATATTCTTTAGCTCCTCGGAAATGAGGTATCATCAGCCTTGCTCAAAAACACAAGAATGACAATTGCAAAAGTTGATCCGAACTTTTAAGGAAGAATGTGCATGTTTAATGCGCTTTTCTTGAAATAAAGGTGACAAAAAACACTTCCATAATTATAAGAAATTGCTGCTAAAAGCATTCCATTGTATGACTCTGACTACATATGTTTTTCTTGAAAGTCCTGCTGAACCGATCGGCTTAAACATGGAGTTTAATATGCTGGGCTGGAACATGTAATGGAAGCATTGCTGAATACAATCAGAAGAAGATCTTGATTGCTCATACAATTTCAAACTGGATGAAAGTCACAGAGTTTGTATTAGCTCCCGGCTGCAATGTTTATGCCTCGTATTTAAAGCATCTTACAGGGCTACTAGTAATTATTGATTTTAGAAATAAACTACCAATAATTCATATCCCTTTTTATTTTACGATATTTTCATTTCTTAATTAAGACAATAATGTTTAAACTTCTTTAATTTACTATTATAGTGACATTTGGTGTAGATCCTTATACAGTTGTGAAGCAGTGCACATGACTACGAACAGGTAGGAGTAAGTAAGATGTAATTTGTTGATTTCTTTCAAAATTGATTTTTCAAGTATTCCTTAAAGCAAGAAAATAGTGTGACATTAAGCCAGTTGACAGACACAGTCATAACTGTCAGCGCTTGTTCAACTGCAACATTTAAGAACAGCATACAACTGCAATACTTAACTTTATGGAATCAGTACTTAACTGTACAGGACCAGTACTTAGCTGTATAGGACCAGTACTTAACTGTATAGGATCGGTACTTAACTGTACAGGACCAGTACTTAACTGTACAGGATCAGTACTTAACTGTATAGGACCAGTACTAAACTGTACAGGACCAGTACTTAACTGTATAGGACCAGTACTTAACTGTATAGGACCAGTACTTAACCATATAGGATCAGTACTTAACTGTACAGGATCAGTACTTAACTGTACAGGACCAGTACTTAGCTGTATAGGACCAGTACTTAACTGTATAGGATCGGTACTTAACTGTACAGGACCAGTACTTAACTGTACAGGATCAGTACTTAACTGTATAGGACCAGTACTTAACTGTACAGGACCAGTACTTAACTGTACAGGACCAGAAGTTAACTGTATGGGGCCAGTACTTTACTGTATAGGACCAGTACTTAACTGTACAGGACCAGTTCTTAACTGTATGGGACAAGTACTTAACTGTACGGGACCAGTACTTAACTGCATAGGACCAGTACTTAACTGTACAGGACCAGTACTTAACTGTATGGGACAAGTACTTAACTGTATAGGACCAGTACTTAACTGTACAGGACCAGTACTTAACTGTATAGGACCAGTACTTAACTGTATAGGACCAGTTCTTAACTGTATAGGACCAGTACTTAACTGTACAGGACCAGTACTTAACTGTATAGGACCAGTACTTAACTGTATAGGACCAGTTCTTAACTGTATAGGACCAGTACTTAACTGTATAGGACCAGTACTTAACTGTACGGGGCCAGTACTTAACTGTATAGGACCAGTACCTGAAAAGGGTTTTCGAAAAGGGTTAGCATGTCCTGCCATACTGGCTGCACCTGCCACTTTACACAATCTGCACAAAAATGTAAGTGTTTCTTGCGTGATGCAGTACTCTTGTGATGCGGTTTTGTCCAAATTTTAAAGAGAAGTGATTAGAATATCACGTAAATGTCTCATACAATAACGATAGAAATCACCAAGGCATTTGTTTAAAATTTTGAATTTAATCTGTAGCCATTATGGTTCCAAGAATAACACTTTCTGAAATCTCTTTATTTTAGTTGTTTTTTAAGAGACACAGTACATCTATATAAGTACATCTTCAGTGCAGCACTATGGTATGTAACAGTCACTGACATCAAGACGCTTCTAGCCCTAGCCTGATCAGTGGATACTAATGGTTGGTCATACAAATTGGGTTTGTTTTCAGCAGGTAGGGTAATTTCGACTTTATATTGTTGAAAAGGACTAAAATGTGACTGGCAGATCTGTAAATAAATAACTAAACAAGTGATTTAATTGCTCTGGCCTTGTTTTCAGGTGAATGGTGTTTTTGTAAGCGATGAATTAGTCTTGCGTATAAATATTCTGAACGAATAAAATTCACATGTAGAAATTGACTGAGGGAAGGAAATACAGCCCACATCCTGGGAATATTGTTCCACAGGAACCAATACTCCTGGTACCATAATCGACGTAATAAGCGCCCAGGGCGCTCTCAAAATTAGAAATATGGGGCTCTTATTAGAATATTATTTTGGTGAAAAAAACAGAGTTGAAAGATAAATTTCATGGTTTATGCAGACAGCCTGAACTGTTTATATACGACAGATATATTTTTCCAGAATTTAATTGCCCATAATTAAGAGTGCATATAACACACGAGTGTGTATTATAGGTGAATAAATAAGTCTTGTGTACATTCATCAATCAGAAGGGGTGCTAATTGGGATTATTAGAGCTGAGCGCTTATTACGTCGAATACGGTATATCAATTTCTCCAGGGCAAATGTTCAGGGGCAACATGTTTACTCGGACATTTCCACATCTATAAGGATGAGGATCCATCAGTACAACACTGGATTCATATTCACATATTTTTCAATTAATTCACAATATTAATATATTTCTATAAAAGATATGTTCCACATGAGCCTTCCTTCACATGGAAATAATTGTAGTTAAGGAGTATATTTTATACAAATTTCTCAGAAGTTGACGGATGACAATGGCGACACAATTTACGGACAACAACTTCTTTATTTTCAAATAATTCATGCGTGGGAACTTTCAATATGGCGAATAAAAGACGTGCTACCCAAAATGCATTGTGGGTCAATTACCCGAGGCACTGTGGGTATTATGTTCGATAGATAAATTGTTAGTTGATAAAGTATAATGTTAATTATTTCCTATAACATATATATATTTTATACTACTGTTACGCAGATGCACAATATATATAGAATGGGCCATATTAATTGCCGTGCTAGACACGTGTAGTTACGCTGTACCTGTGGACTGGGGTAAGATAGCCTCAGAGAGCATGGTAATGAAAATATACACAGTGGAGACCTGTGTAAACGCTAAGTAGAAAACCAGCATGGTGCACGGAAGTAGTTGTGGATTGAAGAGTTATGGATGCTAAGAATGGAGATAGCCTATACGAGCCGGTGGGCGATGTTGTTATTGCATAAACTCATAATAAAATTATGTACAATAGCAACATTTTGGTGTAGATCCTTATACCGATTATCCTTACTTAACAACGGTATAAGGATCTATACTGAAATGTCACCATGACAGTAACATAAAGAAGTTGTTATCCATAAAATTGTGTCAACTGTGTCCTGGAGTATTTAGTTAATTAAAACTAAAAGCAAAAAAATCATTTTCCATAATAATAAGAAATCTCCATTTTCCATTGTACAATTCCGAC